TGAAACGCGGGTGCCCTGATAAACTGTTTCACCAAAGCTGTATGGTGATGTCATGGTTCTTCTCTACTCTGCAGTTACATCTGGAACTGTCGGAGTTTATATCAGCTTTGGACTAACATGATACACAACCGGAGCCAGCTGCACTTCTTCCGTTTCTTTCAACTTGGTGACTCCAGGGATATCTGTAGTGTGGCTCTCATCTTGAGAACCTTCCATATTTGTAGAACCCTCACTTCTGGAATATTCGGTCTGTGACACCATCTCTTCAGGAACATAAATAGATTTCACTTCATCGCTTTTCATTGGCTCAGCTAATTGATGGTTTTTATTATCTGTTTTATCAGTTGCAGCGTTTCCATCATGTTCTACACCTTTCATATCTCTATTGTTGCTGATTACTTTTAGAGTTTGGTTTTGAGATTCAGTGTCAGGAACAGTAACATGGTATTCTCCGTTATCTTTCGGATAACTTGAGGATATCTCATCGTTTTCAGATTCATTATTTTCCACATTGCCTTTACCATGCGTAGATTTGCCTTCTCTACTTTCTGACTCAGTTGTTGACTCATCCTCTTCGACATCAGTTTCTTCAGTCGAATTCCCTTCATCATTTTCCTGTTCTCCTGAGCCATCCTCAGAATTACTTTCATACTCCTCTGGCTTCTCATAGTCCTCAGATTCACCTTCACCTCTATTATGATAATCGTCTGGTTCTTCTAGCTCTTTACTTTCTGTCATGGATTCTTCATAAGATTTTTCATGGTAATCTTCATCTCCTTCATACGTTGTACCCACAGAATAATCCCCACTGTCGTAATATTCCTTTCCTTCTTGATTTTTTTGGGTTTGTTCTTCCATTCCTTCTTCTTCTTTCTCGTTTTTTCCTTCTTCCTCCTTCCAGTCCTGGCTTTCCTCAGAGTCATCATCATAATGTTTGAATTCTCCTTCTTCCTCCTGCTGTTTTGCATCGGTTTCTGAAGCCATTAGGAGCACGCGCTCTCCAACAAGGGTCAGCACTAGCCCCGGTCCGCCACGAGGAGTTCCCAATTGAGCACCGTTGTTAATCAGAAATGGTTGCAACACAAATGCAGGAAGGGCTCCGCAGACACCGGCGGTCAGAACAGTCATCGCCTGCGTGGAAACAAATTGAAAGTCAGATAAATAACAGAATTGTGCTGAAAGAGTGCCTCTTGGTAGTGTTGCGTCAAATCGAAATGTTTTTTCATTCCCTCACAACGGTGTTGATAGGTGGAAGTGGAGCATTGGTGATGATACTCGAGAGGATAGATAATTCTGTGAAAACACTGCCCCCACGTCGCTCTGTCCGCCACTAACTCTACATTGATTCACCTCAGGTTGAGCCGTGGTCCCCTCTGGGGTAATTCGGCAATTTCCCATCTGATAAATGTCCTGACATATAGTTAACGACTTAATGGGACTGAAACTAAAAATCCGAACACCTCTGATTTCAAAGCTTATCACTGGACATGGCTCTGAGTCAGTTTTATCCAAGTCCAGTTTTTTCTTAATTTCCGTACATTTGTAACCTCCCTTGTGATTCCAGGTCTTCCACTTAGAGTCTTTCAAACGACTTCCGCGAATATTTCTCTGTTAACTTTACCTTCTTGTGGAACTACATTTCGTGCCTTCATAGCCTCCTTGATTTTGCTATCCTAGAACCACTGGGCGACCTGTATTGGATAGACCACTAAGTTCCTCCTTATGCAGCCCAGGTATTTCAATCCGGTTTGGACTTGTAATGCTTCTTAGAAGATGGAGTGTTGTAATGTATAATATCATATTACACCCCATCGGTTACGAAAAATCGAACTGGGGTTTTCCCAAATAGGAAAGCAAAGCGTAACATTTCGACTGTGACATGTGGTTACCAAAATACTGAATGGACTAAACTAAAGAATATCTTTAAACATTTCATACCGATGGGAATATATGCAAATCCTGTTTTCATTGTTGTTGCAACAATCCATATTTTAGCTGACGACTCAAATTATGAGAAATCCTTCCAATATATCGCAATAAAATTTATCGCTTGAGATCATTTACTTTCAAATCCCGGATGCGTTTGGAGTTTCAGAATATGTGAAATGAGCATGTCCCCCCCCCTCAAAAGTTAGAATTATTCATCTTTTTTTTCAGCAGTATAAATGACATACAATCATTAGAACAGACCACGAGAAGAAGGTTTATTTGATAGATGCATGAAGAGTGTTGAAAGATGCATTTCATGACTGAAACAAAACACAAGTCATCTCGTGATACCGAGTAATTAATCTCTTCATGAGGTGTCTACTGGCAACTTTCGAGCAATTCATTATTTCAACGGACACAGATTAAATGATATGTTTGGAAGTACACTGTATCTTCCAGTGTGAAGCAAAGCTACAGCAATTTTCACGGCTATTCGAGCGTGTCGTGCTGTGGATGATTCTTCTTATAATTACTCACAGAACGTCCTTCACTGAGACCTTGCAGCGCAAAATTACGATGACTTGCTTCTTCATATCGACGAAATTAGTTCACGTTACACGTCTATTCTTCTGTTCTTTTTGTGTGCGAATTTATTTCCAATATTTCATACTGTTATGTTGTGACTGACGTTACCTGACCATCCTATTTCCAGCCATATTGCTATGGTGAAGTTATCTGTTCATTTTTAAATACTTTATTTACTGTATGGTTTATTTGACGACGATTTCAGCGACTGAGACCACAGAACGACGAATGATAGATTAATTGCACTTAGGACAGAGTTTATATCATATAATTGATATAAAAATTCGAAAATATGTGAGGGAAAGCGGTCGTGGACTAATGTGAGATACTATCCCAGCATCTGCCTGCAACTACTCAGACAAATTACAATCAATCACAGTTAGGATAGCCATCTCAGATTCAAGATGTGAACCCGGGAATTCCCAAATATGGCGTAGCAGCGACTCGAAGTAGCCCGTGGCGTACGGCGATTCACGATCACAGTGGGAGCATTGCTAATGTGGGACTTCATTTTATCCCTCGACCGTAGGATAATGGCCGGCAGGGGGACCCGAGGATGCCTGATATCCTTATAGACCTGAACGAAAGGCAAGGCATACGGAGAAACCCGCACAAAATCCGGCTTCTGGAATGACTAGTACGTTTTTGATGGAAGAGGAATTCGATGTAATGACAATGATTAATGTTCTGCTCAGGGTGGCATTAACTTTCTAAACTAATATTGTTTAGGGTTCTGGGTTTAGTCTCAGGCGGCTTACACATTGCCCTGGCAGGTCTTTCATTATTTTGTACTGTATCTCTAAGCCAATATCGGGGCACTGCCTTAACATAAGCCAGAACAACTCTTCAAATATTTACTTGTTCGTTGTAGATGACCAGTTTCATTCGAAGCTATAGTACATTCTATCTGAACATCATTTCCAAATAACCTAAGAATCACTCAATCTCTATTTAAGTTTCCAAAATGTCATCTCTAAATAAGGGACACACGCTATAGTAGTTGGTTGAGGCACTATGCTACAAGCCGGAAGGTCGCGGGTTCGAGTCCCGATGATGTGGATTTTTTCAGTTTACCTAATCCTTCCAGCCGCACTATGGCCCTGGGTTATACTCAGCCTCTAACATAAATTAGTGCCAGAAATATCCCTGTGGGTTAAGGCCCGCCGGCGCTAAGGCTGACAAGCTTACTGCCATCTGTGAGCCGACTGTCTACAGAAAGTGTGGGAGCCTCGACGTCTCACAAAACTGTGGGCCTTCACAGGCTGTTAGAGGGATTGTTTTACCGAAGTTTTTGCATTTATTTTTTGTTCCTCCGTAGGTGCTACATGCCCGGTCCATCTAAAATCTTTACATTTCTCCTGAAAATATATTTAGTTAAAACTGACGTCTCTTGGAGAGTCAACTCTGGATTTACTTGGTCCATTTGGCCGCACCATAGCTCAAGCGGTTAGTCACTGGCTTCCCACCACGGCGGCCCGGGTTCGAAACCGGGTCTGCTCAAGTGGGATTTGTGGTGGACAAAGTGGCGCTGGGGCAGGTTTTCTCCGAGTACTTAAGTTTCCCCTGCCAATCTTCATTCCACCAAATTCTTCACCATAATCACCCGGGGCACGTACAATAGACCAATCAGTGGCCGACGTGCCAGGTGGACCCAGTTCGACTCCACCCACCACCATGAAAATTAAAAATAAAATTAAAAAGTATCTGTTGTGACATATTGTATAACAGTGACTCTTATTTATTAAAATATTAATTGTATTCAAGATTAATTATATGTCTATATATTTCCTTTTAGGTATGTACTGCCTTCGCTCGCTTGGAAACCGGGATCGTGGATTCGAATCCCACTCAGGGCATGGATGTGCGTTTTTCTGTGTTTGTGTGCAGGTAGAGGCTTTGCGACGAGCTGATCACCCGCCCAAGGAGTCCTACCGAACGTGTAAGATCTAGTAAAACCGAAGTGAAACGGAGAGTTCCATGGAGGTAGGCCTAGGCCCACTGGGGCTGTAGTGCCAAGAAAAAAAAATTCCTTTTCTACGCATAAATGTTGGCATGACTATACCAAATTAATTTTCTAAATTATATAAGGCGCCTTTTGTCTTCTTCCTTTTTACGTTTTGTTTTGTTTCTTCCTTTTGCATATGCTTACTTTAGGTTTGGCCTTTGGGTTATTGATTAAACACGTAAATCGATAAGGAACTGACTAAGAACTTAATTATTATAGCTTTTTATTGTTATTTTCATCTACCACTACACGTAAAATATTAATGTCATTAAACTTTTTATCCTTCCTGAAACAAGAATTAAAGACGCGTAGCTCTTCTTGCTCTCCTTTTTGTAATTTACTAATATTTTCGCTTTTAGACTATTTGCAGAATATTCAATTAAGAAGGTTTAAGAGCTGTTTTGTAAATCACAATTCTCCAGTTTCGTCTGTCCATAGAGGTATATGATATTCAGTATGAAAACAAACATAGGTCACTTACCAATTTTAAATAGCGGGACTTCATTGTTGCAGTCTGCTTGAAAAGTTTACAGTCGAATGACAATAAGCAATACCCTCACTGTCCTCTTGCTTTACGTCTTGATGCTACGCAAACAAGTTTGTAAACACCTTCTCTTATTGCGCAGCTTCTGCGCCTTCAGGAAGTTTCCAGCTAAACGTCTTCTGCGATTCTCTCAGAACGAAGAATCGTCTTCTATCCTTCGAGACTGCACTCTTTTAACTCTTCTTGTTTCAACAATTCCTGCAACTTTGTCGTTAGTTACGGGTTTTCTTGCTCTTGTTTGCTAATTCTCACACATGTATATTGCTACTGAAGCTGAATGACTATAACCAAGATAAAACCATCTCGAGGTCACAGAAACAGTTTTATTTCTTATTATATTGACTGTCTCCTTAAATGTTGTTCTTGTAATACATTGTAGTGGGGCAGATGATGACGTGAACGTAAGAGAAGTTGGCCAGAATTCAATACACGGTGAATTTATTTCAAACTGGAAGGAAGATGACACAGTTCTTACGTAATCTATTCATGATGGTTCACAGAATAACAGGTAGAAGGCAACACTAATATGAAATAAAATGTATTTCTTGTGGAGGACCGGATGGGCATTGCCTAGGCCTTTTTTGTAATTATATTTTTTTTTCATAATAAAAAAGTATTTCCTTTGGCTAGAGAGGGGCGGATGGGCATTGCGTAGGCCATTTTTGTATTTATTTTTAAAAATATAAAAGTATTTCTTGTGTTAAATATGCAGTACATCTAATCGGACTATTTCTTACCCTTTCCTCCTGAATTTTATTTAAAAAAGTCTACTTTTGTTGGTGTACTATGTTACGATTAATTACCTCTTACGAGGTGATGGGACATTTTACCATCGCTGATCTTAAACATCAAATAAATACACACCCGAAGGGTAGATTTTTTCAAGTAAGGCATGGCGTACATATCGTGCGAAACATTAATGCAATATTTTAATGATTTTAACTTGCCAATTTAGCCTAATTATTGCTAGAATGCCTAAAAGTATTTATTAAAAATATAGAAATTGAGGTCTTTATAAAATGTTAAAGTCGAAGAGACGTTATGATCGCCCAGAAGTATCATTTCCACACAAATATTACTATTATGCATGGACACACTCATGAGCATAACATTTCTTTATTGATACAATTCGTAGAATCAGTTACAGACATAACTTGTCTTCCCATTTCCTTAATTACTGATGAATGTTCACTAATTATTTGTGAATAGCTACGATGTTGTAGCCTAAGTTTGCTTGAAACATGTTACCTTATGTTATAAAATCTTCTAAACTTTAGCGTTTCTTTTATATTGTCACGCGTAGGAGTGACTTCTGGATTGGATGATTGAATTTTTTGCGCAGTATACTTCACGCAGTTCTGGAGTACAGACAATACAGCGCTTTGTTCTACACACTCTCCAGTTCACCCTTACAAACGCACTAGGGTTCACTATCTTCACTAGTCGTATCCTGACAACGGATTTATAACAATTTCTTTGTAACTACAAATCACGCATGATGTCTTCGTGTCACATTCTAATTCCTTTCTTACAATTTCTTTTCAATCACCTTCGACTGTCATCTCCAGAACTCGACCAAATTCTCTTCCAACTATTGTTCTGTACTCTCCAAGCGACCTTCTTTGTCCCTTTATGAGCCCTGGCACGGACCCCACGGAAAACGCCGTTTTCTCTTGTTAAGGAATCATGTTTACTGGTCCGTTACCTAGCAATGGATGTCCTTTTGTCGCATGCGCGGGTGTTGCGGGAATGTATTTATCGACCAGTTGCCTAGCAATGGATATACACGTCACAATATAATTCATTGTAAGTTGCATTTATGTTTTGTAAATTCGCCCTGAGAGTAGGATATTATATTAATATTTTCACTTTGTAATCGATTTCAGTGGGCCGTTCTTTAATAAATGGATAAATAAATAAATAACCATTAAGGGTTTCTGAAAATTACTTCACTACATGTCGCTGTGAAGTATATATTTCCTCTTCTAACTTATAGGCATTCCACAACATTTCTGTAAGGTGGACCATAGCCTTGATATTAGAAATTCTTTCCCAGAAAATAAGAATATGATTCCCCTTTAATATAAAAATCGTCACAAATAAGGTAAAGTTTCCGACATTTCTTCCTGTCTTTTATATATCATAACATTTTTGCAAAAATTTCCTATCTTTTTAATGTTCGCGTCATCGGTCTTATTCTAAGAGAAGAAAAAATAATTATTTTCGTCAGATGGCTGCGCTAAATGTAAAATTCTGTCGTAATGGTGTGACCATTTCAAAGCTAATCTAACCTTGAATCATGGCCAAGAACCGAGGCGTAGAACAGGTTTGTAGTCTGGGTCCCTTAATCTGCACAGTGCATCATACGTACAGGATAGTATAACTGACAAGTTAGCCAATGGATGGAGTCTAAACTGACCAATGAGAACAAATTTTCTTATATTAAGCCGAACTATTTGTTTTCAGTATATTTTATAGTGTGACGTGCTGCCTGAAAGACGGACTATAAAACGTCCATCACTAGTCAATGACTAGCAATACCTAATAAATCATTGCCCCGGAAATTAAAGTTTAACAGCGGGGTTTACACCGTTAAAAACCAATCGTTTGAGGCAGACACGTATTCACGCAGCAACAAGAGGCAGTTGCATAGCAGCGGGCAAAATTAACCCTTCGACAAGGTGTTTCCTATTCAGTCCGAGTGCAAGATATAACAGTACAACTTCGGAAAGAGACCAACAGAGTTCGTATCAGACTGGAGCTAAGGATAGTTGAGCTCCGAGCAGAAACACTTCACCGAGATGAACTGTGCGAGAGGGTACAACACAGAAGAGGAAACGTCCGAAGACGTTCTAAGTGTGAATAATTGTATTTCTATCCGTCTAAATCCGAGACCCAAGTAAATTTTCTTGTCGCGTTACCAAGGAAATGCGCGACAAGAAGTGTTAAATAATCAAAATTTAGATTTTATTTATTTTTGGGTATAATAATTTATAGTACCTTCATCTTCATTATTCGCATCCTGTTGTGTTTCATGATTTATGATACTCTGGCCGGAGTATCACAAAAATATACATATATACACTTTACAGTACACTAGAACGCCCTTATATAACGTTTATATTTACAGTAGTACTAGGAGCTCTGCCTACTTGGAGTTTCGTGACATCCTGTAAGGGAAAAGCAAATGTACGTTTCAAGGTACTATTCTTAGCTAATATTTTCATGAAAACAAAGACAGCTGACGACAGAGAGCTTATTATTATGTGCAGGTCTACCTACAGACGGAAATAGTATTACTGCAACCATAGGATGCACTGTGTTACCATAATCTTACTCGGCATCGTTATGATTTCATAGCTTTGAGAGAACACATAGAAAGGAACAGCGTCGCTTAACGCAAAGTAGGGCTAGATCATAAATTATGCATGCCTAACTCGCCACAGGTAGCCGCGTGCTGCCCGATAGTTTCCAGGTTCGATTTCAATACAAATGAGCTGATGTATATAAAAATTTGTCCTTGTGTCCAAGCACTACGGAACGTAGGCGTGTAAGGTGAGTGAACGCAATATCTCCATGCGTTTTTAACCTTGACGCTAGATGATGAGTTGTCAGTTTCACGTTCCGACTAACTTATTTCTGCGAATATTTCACTGGAGCTCAAGATATTCGGTGTAGCTCAGGCAGTAAAACCTGACTGAGGATGAAATTAAGAGACTGAACTCGGGTAATACTTGCTACAATTCAGTTCAGAACCTTTTGTCTTCTCGTCTGCTGTCCAAAAACATAAAAATTAGAATATACCAAACTATAATTCTGCCTGTGGTTCTGTATGGGTGTGAAACTTGGCTTCTGACATTAAGGGAGGAACATAGACTCAGGGTGTTTGAGAACAGGGTGTTGCGAATATTTGGACCGAAGAGAGATGAAGTGACAGGAGGTTGGAGAAAGCTGCATAATGAGGAGCTTCATAACTTGTACTCTTCTCCAAGTATAATTAGAATGATCAAGTCAAGGGGGATGAGATGAGCAGGGCATGTAGCAAGAATGGGGAGAGGAGAAATGCATATAGGATATTGGTGGGACAGCCAGAAGGAAACAGACCACTGGGAAGACAAAGGCGTAGGTGGGGGGACAATATTAAAATAGATCTTGGAGAGATAAGATGGGATGGTATGGATTGGATTGATCTGTCTGAGGATAGGGACCAGTGTAGGGCTCTTGTGAACACGGTAATGAACCTTCGGGTTCCATAAAATGCTGGGAAATTCTAGGCGGCTCCTCAAGAAGGGCTCAGCTCCATAAGTAAGTAAGTAACCTCAGGCGATAAACTCACTGGGTACGGTATGACCACCGATTCTTCAATCCCAGTAAATGGATGATTTTTATGTTGATCACATGGTTCACCCCGGCTCTGGGATCCATCCAGCCTCCTGTACAATGGCTATTGGGGACCCTTCAACGGGCATCGTGAAGTAGAGGCATGAAATTATCTACTAACATTTATCTGTTACTGAGGTTAAGGAGAATGCTAGGAGTTGTACCTCCACTCCCCCGTACTTCTTCATGGCGTATTGCTTATCTAATCACAATAAAAGCTTCGCATATTGTATGTTCACGTAATGCATAGGAGGGTACATGGAAGGCAGAGGAGGTGTCCATATGGCACCGAAGAGATCAATTCTTGATCGTATTGCCTGTAGATAGGCACATCACTGAATAGAGATCGCCACTCTTTATTCATAACATCATATGTGTAAATATTCTTCATATTAAAAATAATACATTTGAAATTTACGTATGATTTCAAGGACATGATTTTAGGGTAACTAATTTCACGGTGCACAGCATTTCTTGAAAAATATGGGCACTCGGTAGTGTAGTTGGTTGCTACAAGCCAGAAGGTCGCGAGTACCGATGACGTGGATTTTTTTTTCAATTGACCTAATCCTCCCAACCGCACTATGACCCTGGGGTCGACTCAGCCTCTAACAGAAATGAGTACCAGGAATCTGTCTGGGGGGTAAAGGCCGGCCTGCGCATAAGGCTGACAACCTTACCGCCATCTGTGAGCCGATTGTCTAAATAACACGGGAGCCTCGACATCTGACAACCCTGTGGACCTTCATGGCCTGTTACAGTGATAGCTTTACGTATTCTTTTTTAGAGTTTAGTGATTAATATACGGGCAGTATCTCCTTCCTTTCATTCTATATGATTGCTGTCTTTGTCATTATCATAATATAGGGCAGCTAAAACTTCGAAGAAAGAAGTTACACTCAAATTAGAAAATTAAATTTACTCATATAATTAAAAAGAAGAAAATTAGATTGATTATTTTAATCGCATCCCAAAATTCTCTCACATTACTGCACGTCTGCAACCGTACATATAGGGAAAAGTACGTGGACGATGTCACGTGTTTGTATGCTCTGTATTACGT